TGAAGGATGAAATACCGGTTTTGTGAGGTTCTCTGAAATCTCGTAAGAGCTAACGTTTACCTTTCGATTTGGCTGCAAGTTCCATCCACTGAGGAGAGTGAGGTGGAAGCACGATTGACAGACGTATGTAACTGAACCGCACTAATTGCACATTCGGCTACAACGCTGATCAGAGGTTTACTATTGAGGTGGGTTAACGATGAATCACGTGAGTACATGTTTGATATGAGAAACCGTCTGACACGCGTGTGGCCAGTTCCATCCAGACAAAGGATCGTGTACTCAAAAATTTCACCACCATGACTTAATCCTCTTGAGATCATTGTAGCACAGGCTTGAAGATCAATATCATTTGGTGATACCACACCATGCATACTACTGTCATCGTCCGTCAAATATTCCTAAAACATCTAGAAACAACCTCCCACCAAAGAGAATGCCTACAACGGAGCAAAAATATTCTCAGTGAGTTCCCGTATAACATTACAACGAGACAGGAGTCCCTGTTGCAATATCTAGCAGAGCTTTCCAAAGTTTTCTTGGTAGCTATGGATGATAAAGGTGATATTTATAAAGGCGCATTATAAAGGTATCGTCATAACAATAGACAAGTTCTATTATCGAAATTTGAGGCACTCATGTTATTATTTACTCGTACAGTCGATGGTTGGTGCTCAATGAAACCAGACCTCCCTCCAAGCAAGACGGCTCAGACCGTTACTCGTGAGTAGTCTTTGTTTGGGGAACTACTGCAAACATCACTCATGATAGCCTTCCATATTTGAATCTCGTGTGGCCTCGTCCACTGAGAAGTGCTCAATGAACTTTTTTGTGCCCAGATGCGTTTCAAACATCCATGTTCGGGATCTGGTGATACGACCTAATGAAGTTTGCTGAAACCTATCTTACAACCCATGGAATCGTCTTTTAGTAGTGATAACGTCTGATAGGGTGAAGAGCATTTAGGGTGACAACGGGAAATGTACAGTAAAGTGACTCGTAACGATGGATCCGATCAACACATCATCCACGGCTTACACTGATTTCACTTTACTTGGGCTCGCTTTAAGTACAATGGTCACTTCAAGCTTACACCATTCGCCAGGCACATGTGCATAAATACCTCCGATGGTGAGTGCTCTGGAATTTCGAATAAATGGCTCACTAAAATAACAATATGTAGAATATCATAAACGAGAGATTCAATTGAGTCTCCCTTGAAAACCAACTTGATTTGCAAATTAGTGTATTCCTCGGAAGTTTCATGAGTGTACGGAACCTTGATAGTCGAGAAGTTGGACTGCATTGAATAGGTCGCACAAAAAAGCTCATCGCTTTTCGGTAGAGCAGCGGCCCACTACTAACAAAGTTTTCATCAGAATCCCAGAACCGAATATGTTCTCAATAGAGTTGTTTACCTGACTTTTAGGATTTCGTTAAGTTAGCAATTTTAAGGCACACTTTGTTTTAATGATTATGTGAGGAGACTTGGCAACTTTCAATAGAGATTTCGTCTGCCAGTAAAGCCAATCTATGCCCAATCTACCTTACAAGACTTGAGATTGAGGGTGTACTTTTTAGGTTGTTAACTTGGTCCATCAAAATAATTCAATAGATATGACCAGATGATCGAACGGGTGATTGCATATTCAGTCAAATCGAGATAAATGAATCGTAACTCTGCCATCTGAAGTGAAAACGGCCAAACGAACTGCTGCCTCAGTGTGAGCATTATTCGCAAAACAATTTACAACAGATTTCACTGCACCAAAATGATTTTTAAGAGAGATTCAGCGACACAGTGTGTTGTTCACTTTTCAGCTGGCTTGCTTACGTGAAGTGATAACATCTAAATGCGCCTGCACACCCCTGTAAGTCACACTCCCCAGTTTTCTGTCACCCAAATTTGTAGGAAAGGTTGGATCCATGCAAACTGCACTGTCAAACTAGCTTGCCCTCTGGCACGTGTGCGTTCATTAGAAGAACCTGTTGAGGAGACAAGTCCCCACGTCCCGGCAAATCAATTGCACGCGTTGAAACGACTGTAAACAACAGCTGTTTTGTTTGTATGAGGTCAGAGTTAGACATAAGGTAGTCCCTCCAACCACTAATCAGGTACAGTCGGTTTGTCTGATTTGTCACTAGAGAACTCGAGTGGTTTTGCAGGGAGACTGGGGGAGAGTGACAAATTATCACCGCTGCAGTTTCGGTCTGCCTTAAGGATATAAATGAAACAAAATGTGGAGCACTTTCCATATCGAAAATCACATTAAAATTTTCTGCATGACTGCTGCAAAAACAAATTAGCGATGGCAGGCAAAGGGGGAAGTTCATGGCTGTGTACAGAATTGTTTACAGCAATCCGTTCACAAAAGTCATTGTACTTGTATCCCGGGCAAATGTCCACACACGGCTAAGGATTTTGGTTTTCAGTTTAAAGGAAGTACTCCAGTATAGGTATTCGGTATATCACTGTTTAGCGAATTTTCCACAAATCATTTTGTTATGCCTTTTTGTCAGTCATTACACAGGATTCCGGTAAGTCACATTCAACTATGACCCTTCCGTGGACTCTTGAAGTTCATTTATAAAAGTACAAAGGTATGGAAGACGTGGTGGTAAACGCCAGGTGAACAGTGCCTTCTATGTTTTCGGCATGGTATGCACATTCCGAACCTCGTGAATCAGGCTCCCTAAATGAGTGCAAATATGCAGCTGGTAAACCATGACGCAGGTGGGCATATCAAACTAACCAAAGTGACCGTCGAACCCTGGTGAGGGGTAACAGACCATATTTCTGGGGAAGTGTCGACACAATGACCAACACCTAACCGACCTGTTTTTTTAAGTGTGGTTTCGAACTGCCGAATGGAATGTGAACTTCTGAGCAAACCAGCGTGGAGCACGTGCACAAGCGCTACGGGAATGTTTGACACTGATTTCAACAAATTTTTGACAACTGCCTACTGGATGTACAAAACCTTTCAAAAATAAGGAATGCTCAACAGCTATTGGCAATGATATATTATACAGCAGAGTGAGCTTCTCTTATCGACTTAAGGCCTGTTTTACAGAAGTTCCGGCGGATATTTGAGGTGCCACAGAATTGAGAGCAACTCGTGGCTACTCATGAGTAGACCATATTTACCCAACGTTTTGCCAACCTGGAAGCCCCTGCGACCAGTGAGGACTACTGAGCAGATGAGAAAATGTTGCCACAGCTTTGCAACTAGAATTACATGCAATCAGCACAACCACACACTGATAAAGGAAGTGTAAGAACCAATAATCACTGGAGTAAAAACATAAATGACTGAAAGCGGGGTCCCCACTACCAAGATGGAGAGAACTCGTGTACACACATTAAGTCCAACTTGACATACTGAAGCCTTAAATACTTTCCATATTCCTAGCTAAGAAACTGAACAATCCGCGGTAATGTGTCACGTTGGATAAAGCAAAAATGCAGATGAAACATCCTGAAGGCAAAATTAACAAGCCATCAGGAATGCCCAAAGTGTCGGATCCCGGGAAACTGGAAAATTATTGCTCCATAAACCTATTTTTAAGGAGTATGGTTGTTATCAGATTGTAATTTACCCTATTTGTAACTGATGTCAGGTGTTTTGGTTAGGTACGGAAACGATCCGCTACATCCAGGCGGTGAATTGATGAGAACGGGAGGTATCAGCCTTCTGGAAAAATTTTCAATGAAACTCAAAGCACTTTGCGCCAGAAAATACCGTAGTTAGTT